TCGTTGAGAATGTGGGTCTTTCCGCGTGGTGGACTTAAGATGGAAAAAAAAGACGAGCATGCTGTCTATTCTCTTTTTGTATCGTCTTGGCTGAGGAGAAAGTGATGTAAGTCGTTACTGATTGGTCGCTTGTGATTTCAAAATAAGCAGTGGCAGTTACTTAATGTGTCCATTTGTTGTGTACTTGGCGAAATTCTTGCTTCAGGATCGCCTACCGGAAGAGTACTTTTTCGGTAGGGTCTCCTGGGAGAACAAGTATGATGTTGCAAGACCCGAAACTTGTCATGACCCCAAGTCATAACATCACTGACGAGGCGACCCTGAACACTCGTTGGAGTGTTTTCATGACAAATGTCTAATCTAACTATATAAAAAAATATGTAACTTCCGTTAGTCCGTCCGTAGCACCCTCTAAAATAGCCATACATTGACCGATTGAAACCAAATTTTCGGGAGAAGTGTAAACAGGTAAGCGGGTACAAAGTACAGTTGGTTTTACTAGTGTACATAGCTTAGTACAAACAATTTTTGTTGGAAAAATTCAAAGTTTTATTATTTAACATACAAGATACCGCCACTATTTTAAAAACAATTTAATGATTAAAATAACAAATATTATTTAATAAAAAACGCAATATTATTTTTTCATATTTTTTTAAAAAGTTTTTATATATACAAGAATTCAGTTTCCAGTTCACCCTGTGTTTGCGAGAACTATAAACAAATCATCAGGCCAAACGCTTCAAAAAGTTGGAATTTGGCTCCAGAAAGAAATATTTATGCATGGCCAATTCAGTTATATGTTGCATGCTCAAGAGTAAGAAATCCTAAGAATTTATTCTTCGCTGTTAAAAAGGAAAAAATAATTTTTCTTAAAAAATATTGTTTACCATGAAGTCCTATTAAATTAGATTAAATTAAATAAATTATAAAACCGCGAAGTAAGATTTTTGTCAAAGTATTTTTCCAAACAAATTAGCTTATTCAAAATTCATCAATTGGTGTGCGAAATTGAACGAAACGCAGTGTTTATAAATCTTGACAAAAATGTTAGCGTTAACTTCAACAATACTAAATATTCTGAGGATTTTAACATGCGTCATCGTACTGCAAAAATTCTTGTAGTTGAAAAAAGCATGTAATATCGATAAAAAATCTAGTACTTCTAAAATTTAAAGCATAATATAATAAGACTTTCAAATTATAATAATAACATATGTAAAAATTATATAATATAATATAATATAAATGTATTCTGAAATCCCAGAAAATTAAGGTTTCGTTATTCTTTAAGACAAGATAAACAACATGCCCAGCAAAGAGAAGCAGTCTTTGTAGACGCCAATTTGTAAAAACGTTTTTGATCATAGATTTTTAGCATATAATTATTTCTGCTGTTTGTTGCAATTAGCCAACTTGTTTGAGTTAGTGACCAAGAAATGGCTTAAAGAGATATATTTGAGATCGATGACACCGAGCAATGTGTTATCTATCTATCTATCTATCTGTGTAATTCTCTTCATATCTCTGAAATTCCCTTCATATCTAATTCACGTCATATCTATCTATCTATCTATCTATCTATCTATCTATCTATGTAATTCCCTTCATATCTATCTAATTTACGTCATATCTATCTATCTATCTATCTATCTATCTATCTATCTATCTATCTATCTATCTATCTATTTAATTCTTGTCATATTGTGCGGATCTATTACGCACGAGCATACATACATACATACAAAAATACAAATCACATACAACGCCAAGCATTCATTGGTTAATTAATCACCACTACGTTATTATAGACAATTTACAAATCGCAGCAATGCGACAATTTTGTAATCGCTCTATTTTCATGTAGTCAGTTTTGTGCACTTTTGGGAGAAACGGATCACAGAAGCTTTCTTAAGTCTCCCCAAAGCTCGCTCGCTGATTGGTCAATGCCAACCAATCAGATCGTCTGCATGTGAAGAATAATTCTTCCCGCGCAGCGATCTGGAGCCTACAGTCACTTATTTAAGCAAGAATTTTTCTTAGCTAATTAGTGAGAATTCAGCTGCCAAACGAATCCACGACAGTTGAAACCATGCGTCAACCTTCTCACTCACACACATCACTCACATGTTGAACATACTTTGTACACACTCACATAAACTCTTCTTACACAGCAATATCTTTCAAGAACAATCATTACAAGAGACTCTCATGAACATTCTTCCAGTGAACTTTGGAACACTAAAATAACAGTTAAAGAGAGACAACTCGTGGTTAATTCAGCCTTTTCTTACTTAAATGCATGCTTTCCTTCACTTCGTTGTCTGATATTGTACATCTTGTTAAATACATATTTTATGTGTAACAATGTCTTTTGGCTAAACTTTTTTGCGTGAGTCCTGTTTCCTAATCTAAAGTTAAATTAATGTGGTGAAGTCCGCCATAATATCTATCTATCTATCTATCTATCTATCTATCTATCTATGTAATTCTCTTCATATCTATCTAATTCACGTCATATCTATCTAATTCTCCCTCTCTCTTATTATTATTATTTATTTATTTATTGCAAACGGCCATCTTGTTTGGTCTGATCACCAAGCATTAGCTTAAATAGAGACATTTGAGATCCATGACACCTTGGTCACCAAGCAATGGCTAAAAGAGAGATATTCGAGATAGATGACATCTTCGTCACCAAGCAATCGCCTAAAGAGAGACATTTGAGATAGATGACATCTTGGGATTATGGCAGGAAGGACAGCATCACGTGGCAGCGTAAGCTGACACCATAAAACCTTAGTCAGGAAATTAATTGACAGTTCCATTTTTGGCGAACAATGATGCCAATTCGAGTTCACAGATTTGTTTCTCCAGAATTAAACGTGCCACGAACCAACGTAAAAGAAATAAACACCTAAATATTAGAGCAGGATGTGACTAACTTTTATTTGGAAGGAAGGTTTATATATGCAGTAAATATTTCCAGCTTGTATTCAAAACAGAATATTTGATTGTATATATATATATCCCTCTCAACTTTTTAAAAATCGGTTTCAGCCCATGCAAGAGAGTAAAGCCACTAAGACACAAGGGGGGTTACTGGATATGGAAGAATTAGGAACAGAAACATTAATTATGAGCGGAAAGAGAGAAGGGTAACCGGGAGGACAGTAGATAGCGATCGAAATTGCATTTAAATTCTTGCCGGTTAATGTTGGCTAGAATGCATGGAGCCGGAAGGGAGTTCCACAAGCGAGAAAAGAAACTGTTAGCATAGAACTTACTGCTAAATCTAGCCAGCTCAACTGTAACCAGTTGAGAACTCGTCGCTAGTCCAGTATTGCGTTTAAATTCATAAAGTTTAGGTAACATAGCGAAGAGCTCATCCGATCAATTACCATGAAAGTATTTATAGAAAATACACAGTAAGGCAATTTTACAGCGACAGTGAAAGGGCTGAAGCCGAGCCGTCAGATCAGGACCAATAATATTGCTGATTCTTCTTTGGATTTTATCAAGGAACTCAAGATAAATAGCTAGGTCACCTGAACATATGTGGCGGCAATATTCTAAGCGTGGACGAAAGGCAAACATATAGATATATAAGAAATCTATCGAGTTAGATTCTGGAGAGAAAAATTGTCTAGTACGACACAGTGAACCAACTTAATTAGTAGCTGACCTAGCAATGGATTCTATATAAGCTTTCTACTTCATGTCAGCTGAGAGTGTTACCCCAAGAAGGTGCAATGAGTCTCCCTTCCGGAGGTTAGCATCAGCCATACTAATGGAAGGCAGAGAGGGGTCTCTCAGAAGATTAATGGATAGAAGTTTAGTTTTGGCGGCGTTAAAATTAACAAGCCATCTTCTGCCCCAGTTAACAACGGACTTGAGTTGATTTTGGACATAAACTGTCATTTTGACCTTGTCGGGCGGATCTTTCTTACTATCGAGGTAGGAGTAAATGGTTGTATCATCAGCGTAGATACCAAGTTGAGAGCTGATGTCATTGGGAAGGTCATTAATGAAAATTAAAAACAGAGTTGGACCAAGGATGTAGCCCTGGGGGACATCCGCGTTTGTACGAAAGAATCTACATCAAGAGGGTCATATATAGGAAGGTGAAATATCTGAAAGACTAAACTCCATTTACTTCAAAAATACATAACTGAAAAATTAATTATACTCTCACTTTGTTGTGTCCATAAAGAATAAATAAATAAAAATGAATTATAATGTCAAAAAAATCATTATAATAAAATAATTATAACAATTATCATTAATTCACTAATTCTAAACCAATGAGAATCGACCACACTTTTCTCCTCTACACACGCAAAGACGTGACATTCTCACTATCGGACAAACACTTCAAACGGACAGGTCGTTAACACGTGCATCAACGAAAATTTCATCTCCTTTTTCTTTTCCAGGCCATAGCAACATTTGCCTTTTTGCACTTAATAAAAATTCGAGCCAAGAATACCCCAGAAACTTCTTACACACGTCTATAAAAAAAAAAAAAAAACATACAAGAAATATTGTATACACTTTTCTTATTCGTTATCTGATCCTTCTGTCGGATTCCGATCTATACTCACAAGTCTACCCAGTCAGATTATAAATAAAACTAGTTTTGTTGTTTCCATGTCTTGATGTTTCTCAAAAAAAAAAAAAAAAATTGTTTCAACAGAGTGAAATAATTGCAGACTTAGCAAAAATATATAATAACTTTTCTTATTCGTTATCTGATCCTTCTGTCGGATTATCTCTGTCTATATCTATCTCTCATATTCATCTCTATCCATCTATCCATCTATTATATCTATCTTTTGAAATATCTATCTCTTTAGATTTGTTGTTTGTATCATGTCTATTTATGTTTCTCATTTTCTATGATTATTTTTTATAATATTTTATCTATTTCTCTAAGGTGGTTTAAAATCTCTTTCTATATAATTTCACATTTCATCAACTATATAATTCCATATCTATGTATGTATGCACTTCTATCTATCTATCTATCTATCTATCTATCTATCTATCTATGTTTGTATGTATTTATCTATCTAATTCTCTTCATATCTATTTCTCTCTCTCTCTCTAATTCTCGTTATATTTTTCTATCTCTCTATCTATGTAATTCTCTTCATCTCTATCTATATTTCTATGTATGTATGTATCTATATATGTATCTAATTATCTTCATATGTATCAATCTCTTTACGTATCTATCTATCTATCTATCTATCTATCTATCTATCTATCTATCTATCTATCTAATTCTCTTCCCCCCTCTCTCTCTCTATATATATTTATCTAAAAAGTAAACATATCACTTGGAACACTTCCAAGAGCAGCATAACAAATGTGGTGCATATGTAAGGAGAACAGAAAATAATGATATAGTCAAGCTGTTAATTTTTCCTTCGACTAAAAACAAAAGCGTTGTAAGTAATTTTCCATCAATATCGGAACAAGCTGTAACGGCGACCTTAAGAATCTAAAAAGACTGTTAGAGGAAAAAATATTTTAGAAATTTCAACTGACAGTAACTATATAGGAAATAATTTGGAGAAAACCTTTTATTCTTGAGTCTACTTTCGGGAAAATTTCTTATAAAAACCTTTAGAATTCGACTTTCAGAGATGGCAGGGATGCAACTCTCTCCATATCGTGGCTACATAGCTTTTAACCTCAGCCACAGCGCATGGTAAAAGAAACATGTGTCAGCGACTTCAAACGAATCATTTCCAACAATGACAACAAAAACGGTCTGTGAATCTTCACTGATGATCATGTGTTGGCGACTTCAAACGAATCATTTCCAACGATGACAACAAAGACGGTCTGTGAATCTTCACTGATGATCATGTGTTGGCGACTTCAAACGAATCATTTCCAACAATGACAACAAAGACGGTCCGTGAATCTTCACTGATGATCATGTGTTGGCGACTGCAAATGAATCATTTCTAACAATGACAACAAAGACGGTCTGTGAATCTTCACTGATGATCATGTGTTGGCGACTTTAAACGAATCATCTCCAACAATGACAAGCAAAGCGGTCTTCACTGATGATCATGTTTCACTGACTTCAAATTAATCATCTCGAACAGAGGTAACCAAGACGGTTAGTGAATCTTCACTGATGGTCATTTGTCGGTGACTTTAAACGAATCATTTCCAACAATGACACCCAAGACTGTCAGTGAATCTTCCCTGATGAGCATGTGTTGGCATTTTCAAATGAATTATTTCTAATAATGACAACCAAGATGGTCAATAAATCTTCATTGATGATCATGTGTCGGTGCCTTCAAATGAATTATCTCCAACAACGACAACCAAGACAGTCAGTGAAACTTTACTGATGATCATGTGCTGGCAACTTCAAATGAATTATCTCCATCAACAACAAAGATGGTCAGCAAGTCTTCGCTTATAATAAAATACCTTTTCAACCACAGCTTTATTCTGTGAACAAACTATTTAAAAAAAAACTTTCTAAATCGCAGATTTTTCTGTGAATCAACTAACCAAAAATTTTAGCTCTGTTAAAGACTATTTTTTAATTCTTTTTGAATTTATGATCATATGTTGATAAATACAAATGATTTATTTAACAGACATACTCAAAATTTAATTTAACCCCCAACTGAGTCAGTTTGTGACACAAGACCGGTTTTTAACGTGAGGACTCGAGTGGAAACACTCGGGCTGCTGGTTTAAGCTGGTATTAGCTTGTCTAAGCTGATCTTAGCTGGTCATATCTTGTCTAAGCTAGTTATATCTCGTCTAAACTAGTCTTGAGCAGGTCATCACTGCTACATAACAGATGTTACACAACGGTGAGGAGAAACGCCAGGGAGGTGAGAAGGCCTCCGGCACAGAACAGATACTACAACCGCAGCATCTACTCTGACGGGAAAAACCAACTTCTCCTCTGCCAAATCCTCATGGAAGAACCCGGAAGGGAAATTTCCTTAATAGACATACCAATGTTTTCTTTATTTTTTCTTTATTATTTTCTGGAATTCTGATTTTCGGATTTTTAATATATATATATAAAAAAAAGAAAAACTCTGGACGACTGAATTTCCTCCATGGATACCACCCTGATAGATATACAGACCACTTCACTGGTTTAATACAGAACAGCTATTTTGAGTCAGTGATATTTTAATCGGTTCATTTGGCAATATTTTCAATGGTTTTGATAAGGTATGAATAAATAATAGGAATGTGTATGTTTCTTGTCACCAGTCGAGAAAGTAGAGAAATCTGTATTGGGAAAAATGTCCTAATCAAGCTGTGAAAGTCTCCCAGTTCAGTTCAGGTCTTTTGTGTCGACATTGAATCATATTACATACAAATGATATTTTATTATGAAGTAGATACAAGTTTGCAGCATTTTATGACAAAATCTGTTATTCATATCTATTCATATATGCATAATTTCAGATAACATAATTGTCTGCAATACTGTCTGTTCATAACTCTATTTATTTATCTAATTTGGTTTGTACATTCTCTGTGTAAGTATGTGTCTACTGATTTGAGTCTGTTCCTTTCTAAGTATGTGTGTATCTATCTATTTATTTATCTATTTATATATCTATCTATCAAAGGCTATGTATCTATCTATCTGTCTGTTCATATCGATCTATCTATGTAAGTTTGTTTATATTTCTCTCTTTATATAATTTGGACAGTTCATTTACCTATCAGTGTGTCCATATCTATCTATCTTAGTCGGTTCATTATCTATCTATCTATCTATCTATCTATCTATCTATCTATCTATCTATCTATCTATCTTAGTTGGTTCATATCTATCTATCTATCTATCTATCTATCTATCTATCTTATTCGTTTCATATCTATCTATCTATGTATCCATCTTAGTCTGTTCAGATCTATCTATCTATCTATCTATCTATCTATCTATCTATCTATCTATCTATCTTTGTGCATGTACATAAGTGTGTATAATATTAAATAAATAAATAATAAAATACAACTAACATTCAACAATTATACATTACATGTGTTTTCTATATCTATGTCTCTCTTTAAGTAAGGCTGTAGTTTCTTACTGTTCTTAAATAAAATCCTACAATTATTCCAGATTTTATTCTGCTGCAGTGATCGAAATAAAATATTATTGATCTTACTTATTATAAAACGCAGATTGTGTGTGTGTGTGTGTGTGTGTCTGTACGTTTATATATTGGATCGAATTTCCTACATTTTTCAACCGATTTCAACAAAATTTCACAGGGCTGCGTAAAATTACCTTTGCAGTGGTTCTAATAGCGACAAAAAATTGAAAAACAAATTGTTTTTTTTGCAATCAAATCAATTTGAAAACACGATTCTGTCGCCAGAATGAAAGGGGACAACTCATATCGAGTTATACTGTGTGTGTGTGTGTGTGTGTGTTCGTTTATATATGGGATCGGATTTCCTACATTTTTCAACCGATTTCAACAAAACTTCACTTTTTTTTTTTGCAGGTAGCGTTTCTTATTGTCTTGCACACTTTTTTTTTTTATTTTTTACATTCAGAATGCTTTAAAAATTCCATTTACAAGACAATTGTTTATAATAAAATTCTATTCAATCGGTAGACTCATAACGATTGAAAATAATGTTTTTGTTTGAGTTTAGGTTTGACCAATTCGTAAAAAACAAAAAAAAAAAACAAAAAAAAATAACTAATTAATACACGTGTGTCTGTCAATCTTAAACAATAATCTTTGTCAATTTTATTTTTCAGTCTTCATGATGGTCGATACTTGATCTATCTCTTACTGTTACATCCCTGGGCAACGCCGGGCTCTACTGCTAGTTAATAATAAATATCTTTCTCTATATAATATAATAAGTAGTCTCTAATATTTACCTAAAGAAGAAATATATACAGAAAACACCATTGCAAACTTCCAATATACTTTCTACTTGCTAAAAGAAAGGCATACAAAATATACAACTACAAAAAAACGATATTAGCATCAATAATAACAACAACACTAACAACAAACTACAGTGTAACCCGGATGTAAGAGAGTTGTCAGGACCGGAGAAGAAGTCTCTTATATCCGGGTTTGGTCTATTTATATACATTAACACAGGCTCTAATTTGGGACCAGAGAAAATATCTCTTATATCCGGCTTTCTCTTATATCCGGATCTCTTATATCCGGGTTACACTGTATATAAAAAAAAACATATAATATTACCTACTACCAACTCTTTTACATTTATTCAAAACGATTTATCCAAATATCAAAATAATTACAATTGATTACTGTTGCCATATATGGTCTGGTTTCCCCGCTGTTCATCTCAAGGTCCTCGACAAAATCCAAAGACGGATATGCAATGTGATAGGTCCTGATCTGGCATCCCCTCTACAGTCACTATCTCACAGATGTGCTGCGGCTTCCCTCTGTCTTTTCGACAAGTACTTTCATTGCAACTGCTCTGATGAGCTACGTTCACTGGTTCCCAAACTGCATGAATTTAAGCGTTCTACCAGGTTGGCATCTCAGTCCCACCCTTTCACTGTCGAAATGACATCTCTTCTACTGCAACAACTTCTTATCTAACACTTCCTGTCACTTGAACTCCCTTCCTATCACTTGCTTCCCTGATAGTTATAATCTTCAAATATTCAAATGTAATGTCAATCGACATCTTCTGATGTCTTGATCTTGATCCCCCCTGTCCTTCTCTTTATCCTTTTCTCAAACACCCCCCTCTTTACTCTTGCTCTGACTCTATGTAACCCTTTGTGTCTGTTTATTATTTATCTATCTAATTGGATCTGTTGAAAGTAAAGATTACCATTACATCTATCTATCTATCTATCTATCTATCTATCTATCTATCTAAGTCTGTTCATATCTATCTATCTATCTATCTATCTATCTCTCTATCTATCTATCTATCTAAGTCTGTTCATATCTATCTATCTATCTATCTCTCTATCTAAGTCTGTTCATATCTATCTATCTATCTATCTATCTATCTATCTATCTAAGTCTGTTCATATCTATCTATCTATCTATCTATCTATCTCAGTCTGTTCAGATTTATCTATTTGCTTGGGATGATTTGCTTAAAATAAAAAAAATAGATCTAAAACTATCATGGATATAATTGTAGGATTTGTTTTTTATGGGTTATCAACTCTTTTGCAAGTTATTCAATGCCAGAAAACATTTTTAGGTAGTAAGAGGTTTTTGGAGAAAATAATAATTTTAACTAATACAAGTTCTACTAATTAACCCATAGTAGGTGGGAGAAGAGTTGGATTCCTACCTTTCCGAAGGGTATTTGCACATAAGTGAATATATCAAACCTGAATTTGATTTCCAATTCCAAGCCTTTATCCAGTACCTGACCCACACACCCAAGCTTACTGAATCTGGTATTCCCAAGTGGTCACCCATCTTGGTACTCACCAGGCTCAGTGTTGCTTAGCTTCAGTGGATGGATATGATCAGAACCAAAATGTCCATAACCAGAATAATTCTGAAGCAGATATATATCAAATAAATTGTATATATATATATATATATATATATATATATATATATATATATATATATATAAAAATGAATTGAAGAAATTTAGAAGAAAACATATATAGGAATGCAAAAAGCAACTCATACATAACAATATATAAATTAGCTATTCCCTGCCCTCCATTAAATTATCTGACACTCAACTTCTCGAGAGCACCTCTCTGCGGCTGCTCGGTCTCACGTTGACGGCTGACCTGAGATGGAACAAATACATTGAGTCAATTGCTTCGTTCACCGCAAGTGAAGTTGGCTCCCTGTGCCACACCAGGAAAATTTTCTCCCAGGAATCGATCCTCCAGATCTACAAATCAACAATTCGCCCTTGCATGGAGTATTGCTGCCATATATGGTCTGGAGCCCCTTCTGTTTGCCTCGGCGTTCTTGATAGGCTCCAGAGGCGGATATGCAATATAATTAGCTCTACTCTGGCATCTCGTCTACAGTCGCTCTCTCACAGACGTGCCGTTGCCTCTCTCTGTCTTTTTTACAAATACTTTCATAGCAATTGCTCCGAGGAGCTGCATTCGCTGGTTCCCAGACTTCATGAGTTCAAGCGCCCTACGAGGCTGGCATCCCGCTCTCTCCCCTTCACTGTCGAAACTCCTAAATGTAGCCGTCTCTTCTACTCCAATAGCTTCACGTCTCGCACCTCTCGCCTGTGGAACTCACTTCTCTATTCCAGTTTCCCTGAGAGCTATAATCTCCAGCTATTCAAATGTAATGTCAATTGACATCTCCTATCTGAACTTGCTCCAAATTTTCTGTAACTCCTTGCGTACTAGTGACTTCTCGCCTTGCTTGGGGTGAAACGCTTAAAAAAACAAAAACAAAAAAAATCATAGAAATAAATTCAACCACAACTTCAATCTCAAGAATGTATACTTAGTAAAAGAGAAAATACTTAGATGGAAAGTTCTTGACAGTGCAGCTATTGATTCTTCCCAAAATGTTAACTTGCCTCCTGGAATTTTTCAAATATCTCCTTTCTTAAAAGAAATACTCCTTTCCCAAGCCAACATACATGACCATAAATATTTTTAAAAATTAAAAGAAAATACTCACCTTAAGACCTTCTATTATTTCAAATAAATAAATACATAAATAAGAAATAAATTAAAAAAAAAAGAAATAATAATTACATTAAAAAAAGAAATAAATATATATGAACAAATAAAAAAATAAGAATTCAACACCAGCATTTATTCACTTTAGTTTATTAGGATTTAATTACATCACTTAGAGTCCTCCATAGTTTATCTTTACTTACAGTTAGCTTTCTGATTATGTTAGAGCATTTTTAAATGTAAACATTTTGAAAACTGAAAAATATTTTTACTTCTGCTATAAAAAATTTTGCAAAATGAATTTTCTACATTTACCTTGATAAAATCAATCAGAGGACAAATCATGTTGGTAAAGAAAAGTTTTCCTTTAATTTATAAATATTTGAATTTTGACATATATATATATATATATATATATATATATAATACATGAAAGGTTAATGGGCAGAGTTAAATCAGACCAGGAAATGGTAGTATTAAAAAGTGCTTAAGACAAGTGTAAAAAAAATACATGTAGAGCTTTTAACTTTAAAAATCAGGAGATCAGTTGAAGCTGTTACCTTGATTTCAACCTTATGGTATCCTGAGGTGATTTTTATCAAATGACCTTTTAACACTTTATTTTTTTAAAAAAAACTAATGAACACTATATTATTATTTCCAAAGATAAATAAACAAACGCATGACATTGGGTGTAATAGAAAGGGTGGAGGATGTGAAGAAGGAAGGAAAAGAAGAAGGTAGAGGATTCAACTAACATCCTGATTATTAAAGTATATATATATATATATATATGAAAAATATATAGAAAATAGGAAAGAACTTGTTAGGTAAAATATATATATATATATATATATATATATATATATATATATATTAAATAACAGACTTTGCCTTATTTGTCTCATGTTTTACACTGACTTGATGTGGAGGAACTGAACTGAATCTGATGCTAGTTTTACTGCAAGGAAATTTATATATAAATATATATATTAAAATATATGTGAAATGTGTATGTATATATATATATATATATATATATATATATATATATATATATATATATATATATATGCAATTTTTATATATATTATTTATATATTATATATGCATGGTACTTATTGGAAAGTGCTCAATATCAGTGATAGAGCTAACATATTGAGTTGGATTGATTAAACTATATATATTAAATAAGTCACTATATATATTTATGATTTTTTAATCATTTCACCCCAAGCCGGGCAATAAAACCACTGAGATGCAAAAGGTTACTGAGTGTTAGAGAGTATGAGAAAAGAATACTATAAAAGATGGAGAACAATAAAAGAAGAAGAATTAAGAAGACAGAAGATAACAATTGACATTGCATTTAAATTTTTGAAGATCAAAGCAAGAAGCTGATAGAGAATTCCACAAGCATGAATTGGAACCAAAGAAACAATAAGCATAGAACTTATGTTTAAATGTTGCATTTCAACTGTAAAATGATGAGAACTTGCTACCAATATAGTACTGTGTTTAAATGGTACCAATATTTAAACTCTAGGTACCAAAAAGAAAAGTTTATCAGGAAATTATAGCAATGAAGAAGTGGCTGAAGATGCCTGGTCAAGACCAATATCATTGCAAATTCTTCCTTGGATTTTATCAAGAATTTCTAAATATACAGCAGAAGTATGGCACCATATGTGGCAGCGATATTCAATGCATGGACAAAAAGTAGACTTCTAAATATAGAAGATATTTTCTCAAGAGAAAAATAGGCTAGTGGGTGCACTTTAGTAATCATTCAATAGAATCTGATATACAAAAAGAAAACGGATGTGCCACAAAAGGGTAGATAAAAATAGGTCAGTAAGCTGGGAGAAAGTGATCGATTAACTTTTCAATACAAAAGTAAAAGTCTGTTTATATCTATCTATCTATCTATCTATCTATCTATCTATCTAAGTCTGTTTATATCTATTTATCTGTATATCTCTCTAATTGGGTCTATTCATATCTATCTCTATCTCAGCCTGTTTCTTTCAATTTATATCTCTCTCTCTCAGTCAATTTATATCTATCTATCTATCTATCTAATTGGGTCTGTTCATATCTATCTATCTATCTATCTATCTATCTATCTATCTATCTATCTATCTATCTATCCTTTGAGTGATTGACACCATTTCTGTGCATAAGTTTCTTGCCAACAAATTTATCTGCAATCAGTAGCCATTGAACAAAGGCACATATGAAGAACATTGCATCTGCTGAGCCAGGCGTAATGGGGGCTAAATATTCATGGACTGAAAAGGATTTCCCATTCATAAACAATTATGAATCACTAAATCAAGGATATTTGCATAAATGTATGCTTGAATGGAAATCAATGATTCGTACTTAAATATATGGAACTTGGAAAGAATTGTTAGTGAAATCCTTTTTTTGTGTTTTACTGAATGTATTATTGTTGAGTGGTGGTTTTATTTTCTTATTTACTAATTTAATATTTATCCTCCCATATGTTGTATATGTTGATAAATAGATAGATAGATAGATAGATAGATAGATAGATACGAATAGATAGAAAGATAGATAGATAGATAGATAGATAAATAGATAATAGATAGATAGATACATATAGATAGAAACAGATAGAAGATAGATAGATAGATACAAACAGACCAAGATAGAACAGATAGATAGATAGATAGATAGATAGATAGATAGATAAAACAGACTGAGATAGATAGATAGATAGATAGATAGATAGATAAATAGATAGATACGAACAGACTGAGATAGATAGATAGATAGATAGATAGATAGATAGATAGAAATAAATAGATTTTGGATAGATAGATAGATAGATAGATAGATAGATAGATAAATAGATGAGATAGATAGATAGATAGATAGATAGATAGATAGATAGATAGATAGATAGATAGATGAACTTGCCAATAAATAGATATAGACAAAGATAGATAGATAGATAGATAGATAGATATGAAAAGACCAAGATAGATAGACAGATAGATAGATAGCAAAGTGAGATAGAACTGGCCAATAAATATAGACAAAGATAGATAGATAGATAGATAGATAGATAGATAGATATGAACCGACCAAGATAGATAATGAACCGAATGACATAGATACAATACTTCTTATAATATTAGCTTTAACATTATAATTAAAAGGTGGATTGAATTGTATAATAATTCACTTACATTGTTTCCCTTTTACCTTTGTTTTATCTAAAATCTCTAAATTTACTTTATGATTGCTTAAATCTAAAGCCTTTATATATTTAATTTATTATTATCAAATATTTTCTCATTACTGGAGATGGTAGATAATCTAACTTGGGATGAGTTATGTAAATTTTGTGGTGGTGTTGGTTAGATTCTTTACTGATATACCCATGGTTATATAGCTCTTTGGTATATGGTTTATAATAACCATTATTCAACTCTAAGGTCACATAAAGAAAGTTGATCCCTTTAACATTGGTGGTAATGTTAATATTTAATTTGTGATCTTTAAAAATGTTTTCAGTTTCTTTCACAATCGATCTATACTTTATGAAGGAGAATTACACCATGATCTCTATAGAGTCATTAATATCAAAAATAAATCTAAGTCTACACAATGATAATATCCCAACTAATTTGCATACCTCTGCTGAGTCAGATGCTCCCATTGCAATATTAAACTCTGGGTTACTTCTTTTGGTCCACAAATAACCCCTATGAAATAGTATTGGTTTTTGTGGCTGCTTTATGATATTTATTTTGCGATCACTGAACAGTAATTTTTTCTTAGATTTACAACAGCCATTAGCAGATTCTTGGTGATGGATGGGTAAAACTCACAAATATCAAATTGGATGAATTTACATTCATTCTTCCTTTTTATATTACTAAACCATTCAATGTCTTTTGTTGTCTTATGCTACTGGTTAATTCCTAGAGCATTTTTGGTGTATTTTCATGCTATTTCAATTTTTGTTAATGTGGGATATTTGATAACAAATATGTTGGAAGTATAAACAAAAAGAAATTCAAAGAAAGCAGCTAGGCTATATACCCAATCAAAATTTTAAAATACATTTTAAAGTTTAAAATTTCAGTGTACCATCTCCATTGTGCATATGTTTAGTCACATTTAAATATTATTTTAATGGAAGAAGTTCTAAAGGATGAAACATGTCATACAAAAAACATTTGTGTAGTTTGTCATTGAGTTTCCTAATATTGTTCTGATATATACTGCTGATACCACCTACAAAACTCTGGAGTCAGGATGTTGAAGGTAACATCAATCAATAAGTGACAAAATTTATTCACATTAATCTTCTCTCTCTCTCTCTCTCTCTCTCTCTCTCTCTCTGTCTTGTCCTTGCATTGAGTATTGCTGCCATATATGGTCTGGAGCCCCTTCTGTTTGCCTCGGGGTTCTTGATAAGATCCAGAGACGGATATGCGATGTAACTGGCCCTGATCTGGCATCTCGTCTGCAGTTGCTCTCTCACAGATGCGTCGTTACCTCTCTTTGTCTTTTTTTACAAATACTTTCATGGAAATTGCTCTGAGGAGCTGCATTTGCTGGTTCCCAGGCTTCATGAATTCAAGCGCCCTACGAGGCTGGCATCCCGCTCTCACCCCTTTCGCTGTTGAAACTATTAAATGTAGCCACCTCTTCTACTCCAATAGTTGCATATCTCGCACCTCTTGCCTGTGGAACTCCATTCACTTTTCCTGTTTCCCTGATAGCTATAATCTCCAACTATTCACATGTAATGTCAATCGACATCTCCAGTTGCCTTGATCTATCCACTATCCTTTTCCTCATCCTTTCCTCTATCACTCCTATCTGATCTTGCTCCAAATCTTCTGTAACCCCTTGCGTCCTAGTGGCTTCCCGCCTTGCTTGGGGTGAATCGATTAAAAAAAAAAAAATGTGTGTGTGTGTCTATATGAATATAAGATATTACAGATTGAGTGTTGGTGTTAATAAAATAGTGGTCGATGTAATATAACAGTGATATTATTCTGCACTGGTAGGAATTATATATATATATATATATATATATATATATATATATATTTTTTGGATTGATGCGAGTTTGTGACACTGGGTTTCATGCTATTTGCCATCGTCAGACAAACTGATTAATTTTTAAATTTTGGATTCATATATGGTTGCGTATATCGGTGTTTTTATGGAAGCGGGAGGAAAAATTGTCGTCGGGACGCTGCTCATACATACACGGCCGTACACTCATTGACGTGCACAGACACACACACACGTACGCTCACCCACCAGAGGTCACACAAACATAAACATATATGAACAGTATGAGACTTGGTATATACATGTATATATGCGTCGTTTTGTACATACGTACGGATATTTATATTTATACACATTTTCTCTCTTTCTCTCTCTCTCTCTCTCACACACACACATATATATATAGTGTGTGTATTTAGGCAGCATTTTTTCATTCATACGTGTTTCATTAAATAATATAGACAAGTGTTGTCTATTTACATTTTTATGTTTATACATTTTTTATAGATACAAATATTTAAGTAAATTCTCTGATTATAATAAACAGTATTAAACAACATTTACCAGCCTGAATGTCCTAGAATTGTCATAGAAAATATTAGTCCTACGACAGGAATCGAAACTGTATCCTATACGGAACCGTCATATAGCCAGACGTGTTTTTACCAATTGCGCTACAGAAGAGCGTTCATTTAGCAAGGTCGATTTTTCTGTTTTTAAACTACAATCTTCCATGATTCTCTCACGTACATTCATATCTGCTCATGGCTTATTCAAACAAATGTAAACAAATGACGTCTATTTATTATAAATAGATTATTTATTATTATTAGCGTTTATTATAAACAGAGCATTTACTTAAATATTTGTATCTATAAAAAGAATGTATAAACATAAAAATGTCTTAAAATAATTGTCGGATTTTGTCCATTTTTAATGTGTGACGTCATTTTTTCTGTGAAAATTACTCGGATAATCAGACCGGTAAATGTTGTTTAATACTGTTTATTATAAAACAGAGAATTTACTCAAATATTTGTATCTATAAAAGAATGTATAAACATAAAATGTCTTAAAATAATTGTCGGACTTTATCCATTTCATAATATATATATATATATATATATATATATATATATATATATATATATATAGCAATAAGCAATAGCACGTAAGCTGCCACGTATATATATATATTTGCATATATGTATATTTTGGTATAATCAGATTGGAAAATGCCTAAAAACGATACAAAAGGTTGATCCAAGGCTTGTGAGGGAAATTGATGGATTGAACTGTTCACAAGGTTTTGATCGTTGTGCTAGGCTAAAATCACAAGTCGTCAGGACTGAAGATTTCAGTGTACTGGCTTTGTTCAAACGGTTGATTATGCCAAATTAGGCACTCTCTCTGAAAAAGTGAAACTAAGTTTCATCTTGAATAGCTGTAGGGAAAAACTAACACACACACACACACATATATATATATATATATATATATATATGTCTGCACGCAGTCACAGTATATACATGCATTTACAATTACATACACATACCAACACGCATATACATAGAAGGATACACACACACACATGTATATATATATATATATATATCAATATAAATATAAACGTGGACATTGATGTCAATACACAGTGGCAACAGTGAACGATTTATTTAGATTTAAAAGCAAAATACAACCTCTTTTTATGAAAAAAAATGTAAAAAAATGAGGGGTCATAAAGTTTGTGGGTTTTGTGCTGATCAACCAATAGAATATGACCTTTGTAAAATTTAAACTAAGAAATGTTACAAACGTTGGAATTGTACTCTATTTGTTCTCTTCTTACCTGATATATATATATATATATATATATATATATATATATATATATATATATATATATATCCACGAAGAAATATAGTCATAAGGTGTGCTATATTTATGGGATAAAGTGCCCAATATCAGAGATAGATTGTAAATATAAAAGTGAACATTGAAGTCAACACTTAGAGGTGACAGTCTGATTCATACTAGACTCAATCGTCAGGCCACGAGTGCCTGACAATTGCATCTAGCATGAAACAGACTGTCACC